TCCAACATTAAACATTTTGTAAATATCAAACGCAAACAGCTAGGGGACCCAAATTTAAACCACTAAACCATGGTAATAACAACTACATGCTACCTTAATATCGCACAAACAGTCCATAACGCGAAAACAACAGAATAAAAAAATTAAACTGCAGTACCAAGGTCAATCACCAGGGGCTCAAAGTCAACCTACACAATCTCCAAGGCCCCATCCATCAATCTGCCAAATATCGTACAGTTCCTTCTCACCGATCTTCAGATATCAGACCAAACATGAAACGGAGTAAAAACAGTACCCCCATTTTCATGGAGGGTAAAAATATCAGAGCCCTATTGCTTTCCAAAAGGACAAAAAATTGCTAGTTGATTAATTAATTACCCTCTGTTTTAATGTGTTTTACCGCGAGTCTGACTCGGTAACATAACTGCTGACAATGGCGTCATATTAAACGGACATAGTAACAAAAGCACTTCTAGATTGGGAAATACGTATGCACAATTGTTTTATGTTTTGAAATCTTAACTCATAATAATCAGTCATCAATGGCGGGTGTGCATGACGCATTGGTGAAGTGAAGCACCCTCAGAAACCTTTATTTTTGTTGGCATCTCATTGTTTGTGGGATTTGTATCGATGCTAAGCATGATCTTTGACGTGCGGTACTCGCAATTTTGTTTGTGTCACTGTTACTGGTAGAGTGGTAGTTACCACACGTCACCAGCACTACTCACTTTCGTGGCACATGAAAATACAGTTAAAATGATAGAGTTTGGGGTTGAGGTGATATAAATTGAGTTGTAACTTAACGATAACAAGTTTGGTGTGAACGTGAACCTATAATTAATATCTAATGATCGTGTGGAACTGTTTGCGATCTTTGCTTTGTTGGCGGCTTGGTAGGGGTCAAAATAAACATCTCGTGGAACCATTTTAGTGTGTGTGACCAAAGGCTAAATTTGTTTTGTGTTGACGTCCTTTAGGCTCCGTCTGGCGGACGGAGAACCTCTTGACCGCTACTGATAGATATCTTCCTCCGCTTGCCATTACCTACATGTAGAGTGAGTGTATCACGTGATTCCTCTGGCCCTATTACTGCGCATGACAAGTAGTAGAGAGGTTTGATATGGAATGTTTACACTGGTCTTACTACCGTAACAGTTCCATTCTTCTTCACACACACACACACACACACACACACACACACACACACACACACACACACACACACACACACACACACACACACACACACACAGACACGCACACCGTGACACACACACGCGCGTGCGCCCTCCCCAAAACATAACCTTCTTGGTGTAGGTAATAAGAAGTACGCCAACGTAATGTTGGTTTCGGTCAGTCCAAGGAAAATGTTGATTGAAATTGTCTGGCACTTGAGAGAGGAAACAATTAGATATAGAAATGAGTTTTCTTCTGCCAAGTAAGTGGTTCTGCAATTTCCTCCTGTTCATCATGACTACTGCCAATTGAAAAGAGAAAAAAAAATGTTTGTTAATGATCCCACCCACGAATGATACATATATTTAACCCGTACGTTGTCATTTTGAGGAATAGATACGCAGCATCGATACACTCCGAGTTGAACAAAAAAAATAGTCTGACGTTTCGGGTACACTGCACAGTGGTCATATCCCGACATCAGTGGCTACCAGGTTCGGAGCAGACCATTCAGAACCATGGCCGAGGGTCCAACCTCAGACGTGGTACGAGGAGACACCACAGACGGTTCGTCAGGAGCCGAGGGTCCAACCTCAGGAACCGAGGGTCCAACCTCAGGAACCGAGGGTCCAACCTCAGACGTGGTACGAGGAGACACCACAGACGGTTCGTCAGGAGCCGAGGGTCCAACCTCAGGAGCCGAGGGTCCAACCTCAGGAGCCGAGGGTCCAACCTCAGGAACCGAGGGTCCAACCTCAGACGTGGTACCGGGAGGTACCACAGGTGGTTCATCAGGAGCCGAGGGTCCATTCAGTCTCTCTCTCTCTCTCTCTCTCTCTCTCTCCGTGTGTGTGTGTGTGTGCGTGCGTGTGTATGTGTGTGCACATGTGTGCGCGCACCTGTGTGTGTCATGTGTATTTATGTCAGCTCATATACTACGATTGCCTACATGTCTGTCGACTACTAGTATTATATTCTTTAAAGGTATGATTACAGACAGTTGATTTTTCAGTGTGTACCTCTCGCTGGGTCTGCGCTGCTGTTACCGCTGCCGTCCTTCTGGTGTTGCTGATCATTGGTGGAACCTTTGCCGGATTGTACCTCAACACCAGCAAGCACGACCATGAAAAGGCGAGGCTATCGGATATTCTTCTTTTGATAACTCTAACTTAGGCCATGCTGATTAATGTATATGGTTAGCATCGCCTGGGAAACCCTAACCTGATGCGAGCATGCGAATAAGAAAATGACAAAAAATGTTGCCTTCATTTTGAAATCTACGTGGTCATGAAGGCTGAACAATAAATGACTAAACACAGGGCATGCACCATATAGACTCTTCATTTTACATGTAATTTAATTTCTTCGCATTTTTTGAAATTTTTCTTTGGAATTGATTCTGATATTCAACGACATTGGTATTGTTTTACAATATCTTTTTTTTTTAATTTCAGGTATATATTTGCTCATTTTGCAGAAGCTTTGTACGATTTACAGTATCGTAGAAACTTACGAAAAACGGACGAACATTCACGAGGGCCTGCATGGGGGGTCGCGGCAACGCTCTACGCTAAATTTTGAGATTTACGTATTACGCTGCTCACTACAAAGACTTTCTTTGCTTGAGAGAAAGCCAGCAAAATAAAGGTGATCCTTTCCTAACCATCGATACTCTATCCTCCCTGCAGCCAACAGAGCCTGTGGACACTTCCCACGCCACTGGTCAACCTACTCTGGACACTTCCCACACCACTGGTCAACCTTCTCTGGACACTCCCCACACCACTGGTCAACCTACTATGGACACTGTCGCTATCTACACTACAGGTAGTGTCCTGCATTTAGCCAATGTGGACGAGAACATGTAAATGAAGATTGCTGTAATTCATGCAACATTTCATGCATTGAAGATGAATTGCACTTCATGATTGACTGTATATTACATGATGACGAACGTGAATCACCCGTTCAGTTCAATTAAGCTCGACAAAAAATGTAAAACATTGTCAAAACAAGACACATTTAAATATATAATATCATGTACAAATATAGATGTCATGAATGAAGTATGTAGGTACATTTCGAAATGTTTCAAAAAGATAGAAAAGGCCATTAGAACTCATATCGATACTACCTTATTGTTTTAACATTTTATACCTTAGATCTAATCCTAGTCAATTATTGTTGCAACTTCTTTCTAGTACATTGCACATCCCTGCATTTATCCCCCGGGAATGAACATGCAATAAAGATTCATATTAATGTAATGAGATGACTGAGTAACACTGTACTCTCTTTATTGTACTTCTGCAGAGAGCTACGCCGAACTCTTCAAGTCGGAGCCGGTCGTGTTTGGTGAAGAAGGCGCGGCACCCGGGCAAATAGAAGATGCTAGCGGCGTGGCAGTGTCCGCTGACAATGAGATATTTATCGCTGACGTGGGCAACAGACGCGTCCAAGTCTTCAGCATGAATGGCACCTTCCTCCGCCTCTTCCCAACGAAACTGCCCGGCGGGGACGACCAAGCAATGTACCCTACCGATGTGGACATTGATGGGGAGGGTCGTATTTGGGTGGTGGGGAAAGATAATGTCGAATCTATCGGCGCTGTGCGTGTGGTACAGTACGGTACAGACGGCCTACCACTGACCACATTTGACGTGAAACGAAGAGATTGGTACCCCGCCATTGCAGTGAACGCGCGCCGCAACAGAATCATGGTGGTGGCGCGTGGTAAACTGTTCAAGTTCAAACCAGACGGCTCGCTGGAAAGTTTCGGCAAGAAGGAAGACACCGGGCTAGAAAAGATCACGTCGGACGGGGACGGGAACATCCTCGCGACCGACGTCAATCTTCCCGGGGTCCAGATGTACGATCACACCGGGCGGAGTCTACACTCGTTCCGTACGGCCAGCGTCGATGGAGGTGACCCTGTAGGCATCTGTGTGGACCCCCAGGGTCGCATCATGGTGGCTGACTCCGACAACGGGCGGGTGGACATGTTCACAAGCCGCGGGGAGTTTGTCCGCATGGTCGTGAACGTTACAGACCCGTGGGCCATCGCTCTGGCACCGGGTGGACAGTTGGTGGTGACTGCCGCATATGACTTTATCGTGACAATCTTTCCACCGTGGATGGTATATCCGGACGAGCATTTTGTGTAGATATCTAATCAACAAGCAGATGTTTAGGTGGCGCAAAAGACAGTATCAAATTGGCCAGGCAGTATCCACTGACCAGACTGTAATCATTAGCCACCCAACGGTTACAGTCTGGCCAATGGATACTGCCTGGCCAATTTGATACTGTCTTTTCCGTCACCTTAACATCTGCTTGGAGATTATAGATATCGGCTTGGCGCGTTTCCATCTCAAAAACGGTCGATGCCATTTGAAACGGTCGATTCCATACCGCCAGGTTTAATGACAAAAGTACAGGCAATTTCAAGGACTACTTTAGCCTTTTGGCAATTCTAGAAAAGAAAAATCTACTGATCAAATCGTATCAGTTGCTGCATTATAAAGTGCAGCATGACAGGTGTGTATGCTTTTTTTCAAGAGTATAAAAAGCAAATAAACAACGTACGATAGCAAATTAACAGAAATCAGAAATGACCAAAACAAACTTATGTATGTAACGTTATGTACTGTATTTTGTACCACGTATGTGTAAAAGCGTGTATCAGAGATTTATTTGATAGGACGAAATGATGTTAACTGTATGTATCTTTATTGTCATATACATGAATTGCAAAGTTATCTATATCATAAAAGTATACTCAGTATTTTTTGTTCAAATATTGATCATATGTGTTGGTGGCTAAGATTGTTGTCGTTACGCCATAAAATGTTTATTGTAATTGTCACTGAATGTTTTCACACCCACGCACCGAAATGGCAATTATGACTACCGGTTGGAACAATAAATAGTAATTGACATTGTCTACGTGCTATTGAGAAATAATGAATAAAACTGAATGTAAATGGATTCAGTCATCTAAGGAACATTTACCTTTTGTGTTAGAACAAAAGTTTAACATTGAAACTTTGCAAATCAACGATGAGGTGCCGATGACTTATATTATAACAAGTGGTTTTGTGTAAACGTGAACCTATGATTATTATCTAAAACGTGTGGAACTGTTTGCGATCTTTGCTGTATTGGCGACTTGGTAGGGATCAGAATAAACATTTCGTGGAACCATTTCAGTGTGTGCTTCAAGGGATAATTATTTTTGTCGACGTCTCGACCATCACTATTGAGCTATTTAACAATATCAAGACAAAAGTACATATGGGAGGTACTTCAGTTGCATTGTACGTGTATCTGGCATGTCAAGAAGTATATAGTAACAAACGAGTTATAGCATTATAGAATTTACTCATTAATTATGCAAATTAGGTTACAATTTGTATATACATGATTATTATCTGCCGATGTTCCACTCGCTCTCAATTACTTATGTCCTTTTTTGGAGCGCAGCGAATTTATGGAATTTCCTCATCAATTATGCAAATTACCTCCTGAGTGATAATTACCTGATTTACGAAAGGAAGGTAGCCATTTGAAATTTGAAGAAAATGGAAGCAATTACTCGTATTGATATATTGTGCAAGCGAGACGGTAACAACGAGTGTTCACATTTACCGTAGTCACTTTACTTTACTTTATTGGGGACTGACAACACATCAGTACACGGGTCATCAAGGCAGTCGAAACTAGTCGAAATTTGTGGGTCATCAAGGCAGATGACCCACAAATACAGACGTTATACGAACATAGATAAAGAAATCTAACTGCAAAGTACAAAACAAGAAATAATGCTAACATCCTTAATTGGTGGCAGAAGACAATACAATTTACAAAGTCAGGTGAGCAGATACGTTAGTGCGTTTCGATGCCGTCTCAGCAGGTGAGTTCAGAGGTACCGGTGAGTTCAGAGTTCAAATGACGGAGCGACGTTCAGCCAACCTCGCAACCATAGAGGTATGGCTTGGTCTAGAATATGGTAGGACGGCCACGAAAGACGGCCACGCCGCTATTGGTCAATTTCTCAGCAAGCTCCACGCTGCTATTGGTCGGGGTATCAGCTGCTGCAGTGAGGGGTAGCTAGCGGTGGGGAGGGCTGCCGGCGTTTATCCACAACTTTTAGGGGCAAAAAAACGTCAACCTTTACGACTATAATCACCCCACTTTGGTGGATAAGCCACAAACAGTCATTTGTGCGGCTCTTAGCTCTGGAAACCTTACAGGTAATGACTACGTGAGGGAGTTGGGTCTAGATATTACGTTACCAGTAAAACGCCGTACGCGTACGCGTATACGGGAAATACTTTCCATGGGCCTTTCATAATGTAGGGACCAGGTAAGCACCGTACAGGTGATATTTGCGTGGCCCTTTCATCTGGGGAGCAGGTAAGGCACCGTACAGGTGATATTGGCGTGGCCCTTTCATCTGGGGACCAGGTAAGGAACCGTACAGGTGATATTTGCGTGGCCCTTTCATCTGGGTAGCAGGTAAGGCACCGTACAGGTAATATTTGCGTGGCCCTTTCATCTGGGAACCAGGTAAGGCACCCT